ATGGGCCACCTCTTATTCTGAGATAATGCCTTTTGTACTTAAACTCTCTCACAGGGGTTAACAACCTTTCAACATCTACCTTGTCACCACCAAACCACCCCCCACCACTAAGAATCTCTCCTCTTCAGACTGATCCCTCCATACTTGTTATCATAAAACTGAGCCTTCTCTGGACTGCCAGTATATCTTTCCTTAAATAAGGGACCTAAATCCCTCACAGTATGCCAGCTGTGATCTAACTTGTACAGTTTTAGCAAAACCTCCATCAGAATCATCAGCAACAAAAAGAATTCAGGTCAGGCTTTCTCTTCTGAACTTGTCAAACTCAATATGGAGTCCAGAGCGTGACAACTGATTGAATCCCTACAGTGCAGAGAGAGGTCATTCAGCCCATCAAGTCCACACCGAGCCTCCAAAGACAATCCCACGCAGACTCAGACTCCCACAAACCCAAATTTAACATGGCAAACCCACCTCGTGTGCACATACTTGGAAACTATGACAATTTACTATGGCCAATCCCTGCATGTCTATGGACTGTGGGAGGAAACCAGAGCACCCAGAGGAAACCCACACAGACATGGGGAGAATGTGAAAACTTGCCACTGAAAGTCACTCAAGGCTGGAATGGAACCCAAATCCCTGGCACCGTGAAGCAGCAGTGCTAACCACTTTGCCACCCCTACTGAGTGAGAATTAATTGGATATCAATAGGTTACGATGGTGATATTTGTGCATGACCAAATTATTTCATGAGGGAGAGAAAGGGTGTAAATTTAGACACAGGTCTGTCAGTGAGATTCCATCATTGCTGCTGGAATTAGACCACGTGAAGACAGTGAATAAAGCAGAGAATGAGACCAGGATCATAATTAGTCTGAAGAGATTGGATAATTGGAGTTGCTTGAGAGTGAGAAAATGTTGGACAATTAGTTGCAATATTGATGGTGATTGCTGGGAACAGGTAGCATACTAATTGACAGAGAGGAGTTATAGTGGCACCCAAGAATGTATTCCATCTAGATGCATCACAGCTTGGTATGGCAACTGCTCTTCCCAAGACTGCAAGTATTGAGTGTCGTGAACACAGCCCCGTCCATGAATCAAACCAGCCTTCCATCCATTTACTCCATCTTGTGACAAAGCCATGGCTTTAAGAGGTGTATTTCATCCAGGTTTCTTTTTGAAAAAGAAAGGTTAAGGCAGAGATTACGAACAGCTTGCCAGAGTCGCGAGGGTAAACAACCTGTGAGGCCTTAGTCCTTTTTTTAAAATTTGGAACAATACAGCCAGTCTGGATGGCCAGCTCTCATTGACCAGGATTTCTAGAATATGTTTAGGTTTTAGGTTTAGCTTTAAGCAGTTGTTGTTGTGTGCCTGAAGGAATGGAAGCTATTTTTCCCTCTCTCGATTACAGTCAAAAGCTGGGGGTTCTCTTCCTAGGCTGTTAGATTGCACGTGAGACGAAACAAAAACAGAAATAACTCCAGATGCTGTAAATCAGAAAGAAAAACAGAAATTGCTGGAAAAGCTCAGCAGGTCTGGCAGCATCTGTGGAGAGAAATCAGAGTTAACACTTCGGTTCGAGTTCTCAGTACCAGTTCTGAGGATGGGCACGCAACCCAAAACATTAATTGTGATTTTTCTCCACAGATGCTGCCAGACCTGCTGAGCTGTTCCAGCAATTTTTGTTTTTGTAACATACCTGCTGTTTGACAGAAGCAGCTGGTCACAATTGGCTTTGTACCGAGGAAATATTACATTGTCTTGGTCCTTGGCGTATTTGCCCAAAAGACGACAGAAGAGAGATCTCCTGTAAATCAGCATTAGGCATGTTTGACAGTATCAAACTGATCAATGTAACATTCAGTTGATAATCATTAGCATGTTTTTTCTTTAAAACCAGCAATTCAAACAGAATCACAAATCTGATTCCATTCTTGGCCTGAGCTACCCCTTGTCCAGGGATATTTTTAAAAAAATAATTCAATACCAATTCACTGAGATCCAGAAACAAACTAACACCTGTGCAGCTCCACGAACAGGACTATCCAATGCAAGTGCGTCTGTGGATATGTGCGTTTATTTACCAAACTGTTTATGTTAGTCTCTGTTATGTGAATATTTGAGTGCAGTTATCAATTCTTACCTGTTAGTTTCTGCTAAGTGGCTGTGTGTATATTGTTATCAATTCGTACCAGTCAGTTTCTGCAATGGAAGTATGTGAGTGGTTATCAATTTTTAAACTGTCAATTTCTGTTATGTGATCATTATCAATCGTAACTGTCAGTTTTGGTTTTGTGAATATCTAAATATAGTTATCAATATGTAACTGTCAGTTTCTGCCATGTGAATGTGTTAGTGTATTTACCAATCTATCCCCTTATCAGTTTCTGCTGTGTATCTGAGAGTGTAACTATCAACCTGAACCTGTCAGTTTCAGCTATGAGAACAAGAGTGGGTTATCAGTCTCTACCTGTCAGTTTCTGCTATTTCAATATTGATCCGTCCCTGTCAGACTCTGCTCTTTGAATATACAAATGTAGTTATCAATGTTTGTACATGTTTTTGCAATTATCAGTTAATCCCTGCCAGTTTCTTCTATTTGAATGTATGAGTTCAGTTATCAATTTGTTGTTTGTCCTGACATGGACCACAACAAGTGGATTCTCCCCCTCCCTCTATCCTTTCAAGCCAATCTTTATGCTAAACAGTGTGTTTATGAGATGTCACTGTATCGGAACAATTAATTTGTCATGGTTTCTGTCTCTGTTATTCTATTAAGTTTTCCAATAGGATTTCCCAATTTGGTTGCATTTTAGCCATAGTTTTTAAATAAATTGCGTTCTGCTTAACATCAAATAATTTGACCAATTGAATTTTACACATGTTTTACATCTGCCTTTAAAATAAGAAAAAAAGTTAAGGTCTAGGTTACCTGCTTAAAACATTTTGAGGGGGTCTGGTCCGGGTCATAACAATCTATACTTCCTGCTGCGTCAGGAAAGCAACTAACATAATCAAGGACCCCTCTCACCCTGGTTATACTCTCTTCCACCCTCTTCTGTCAGGTAGAAGATACAAAAGTTTGAATACACGTACTAACAGTTTCAATCTGGATGCATCACAGCTTCGTACGGTCTTCCAAAGACCGCAAGAAACTACTGAGTGTCATGAACACAGCCCTTCTTCCCTGCTGTTATCAGACTTTTCAATGGGCCTCTCAAAAGTTCATATTGATCCCCCTTTGTACCTTCTCTGCTGCTGTAACACTATATTCCACATTCTATTCTGTTACCCTGATGCACTTTGTATGGTACAATATGCTTGTATAGCCCACAAAACAACACTTCTCACTGTATCTCGCTCCATGTGATAATAATAAATCAAATCAAAAGTCCTAAATGGTTTATGGGACCATAAGACATAGGAGCAGAAATTAGGCTAGTCTGCCCATTGAATCTGTTCCACCATTCATTCATCATTGATATGTTTCTCAACACTTTTCTCTGCTTTGTTTCACATTGGCCATTGCACTTTTTGGTGTTTTACCCTTACATTCACCCCTCTCCAACTTTCTAATTTAAAGTCCTGCTGACCACCCTATTTAGCCTTTTAACTAGAATATTGGACATTGGTCCCAGCGGTACAGAATCCTTCTGTTCCAATACTGATGCCAGTGCCCCATGAACAAGGAACCCCTCTTTCGCACGCCACTCTTTTAGTACATATCTACTTCCCTTATTCTCATGTCCCCATGTCCATTCGCATGTGGCTCGGGCAGTAACCCTTGAGGGCCTAGTCTTTAATTTAGTTCCTAGTTCCTGATAATCTCTAAACAGGTCCTCTTTCCTAGTCTTGCCTAAGTTGTTTGTCCCGACATGGACCACAACAAGTGGATCCTCGCCCTCTTTCTATCCTTTCAGGCTGGTCAGAGATGACCCTCACCCTGGCACCGGGCAGGCAATACACCATGTGGGGCTCTCTACCCTGCTTACAAAGGATGCTGTCTATTCCCTTAATTATAGAATCCCCTACAACTACCACTCTTGAATGGCATCCTGTGTCTGGCTCATCCTCCCTACAGCCCTGTTCATCATTAACACACGGACAAGGAGAAGAGCTGAGGCTCCTCTGTTTCTGACTGCAGGATCCCTCTACCAGTCTCAATTACAGTCACACCTTGCTGTCCCTGGCCACTGACCAAATTTGTGGTATTTAGTCTGAAATTCTCTTCTCTCCCCACTCCCTGTGGGAGTGAGTCCCACATTCAACCGCTCTCTCTGGGGGTGGGGAGAGACATTGCTCCTAAATTCCCTGTTGGATGTATTTGTGACTGTCTTCTATTGTTGGTCCCTCCTTCTAGTTTCACAGTTCCACTTCATCCTCCACCTTATTCAATGGTGGAGCAGATTCAATGGGCATAAAGGCACACCCGATGCAACACCTCAGAGATACCCATGACCTTCTGGAATATTCCTCCCTTCCCTTCCCTTTCCCGCTGACTCCATCCCCTCCCAAAACACCACCTCCTGTCAGGTATTCACTGAAAATTAGAAGCAAAATCGATTAAATTTTCCAATTCCGGACCAGAAAGGGCAGCAGTACCAATGATATACCGATATATCAGAGAAAGAGTTGTGGGTGATAGCCGGAATAGGATGGAATAAGGAGTGTTCCACCTACTCCAGGAAGAGATGGGCATAACTGTGTCCGTGTGGGTATCCTTGGCCACCCCTCTGAGTTAAAAGGGCAGTTGTTGAGGGGGAGAACATTCTTAGCCAAGCAGAGGAGGGTGTTGTGGTTTGGAGATGGTTCAGGCCTCGGCTCCACAAAGAAGCGGAGAGCCCCGAGACCATCCTGGCAGGGGATGGACGTGTAACGAGATTGCACATTCAAGAGGAGGCTGCAGGAGCCTGCAAACTGGAAATTTCTGAAACAGGCATAAAGGGTCAGAGGAATCGTGGATGTTCATGGTCAGGGACTGGACCAGGGGAGAAAAGACCGAGTCAAGGTAGGAAGAGATGTATTCTGTGGGGTAGGAGCAGACTGACACAATGTGTCTGCCTGGGCAGGCCTGTTTGTGGATTTTCAGAACGAGGTAGAAGCGAGCTGTGCAGGGATGGGGAACTATCGGCTTGGAGGCAGTCGGGGAAGATCACCAAATGAAATGAGGTTAGTGACCATGTTGATACAATGACATGATGTTCCATGGTGGGGTCATTGTCCAGGGGGAGATAGGAGGAGGTATTTGAGAGCTGGTGCTCAGCCTCTGCAATATAGAGGTTAGTATGCCTGAATACAACAGCACCACCCTTATCGGCAGGTTTAATAACAATCAGGGTTGGATCTAGTGCAGAGGTCAATTCAGAGAGAGATAGGTTGGATTGGGTGAGGTGGGCAGAGAAATTGAGGTGACCGATGTCACATCGATTATGTTCATTGAGAACTGTTGAGTGCAGGTAAAAGGCCAGACAGAGGGGTGCAGGTGGAGGGAGAGTTTTGCAGATGTGTGAAGAAGTCTGTGGGATGGGGAGAGGGCTCTTGTCAAAAGAAACGGGCATGAAGGTGAAGACAATGGAAGAAGCGTTCGACATCACATTGTGCCCAAAATTCATTAAGGTGGGGACACAGAGGGATAAACCTTTGCCGAGTACAAAGTTCAGGCTCAGATTCTCCAGCATCAGGAAAGAGTGGCAGACTGTGGGAGGGTTGGTGCTGAGGGAGCGCCGCAATGTCAAAGGATTAGTACTGAGAGAGTGCTACACTATCGGAGCTGACATCCTATATGTGTAGTTCCATTGTAGCTGTATGCATGGTCATTATTTCCATGTCGATGTAATTAATAACTCGAATACTGCTGTCAGATGAGTTTCTCCAGAAATTGTGGAGGTTTTGTTTCCTGAGGAACTGGCTGATGAAATCACTGTTTTTAAATAACACTGGCTCGATTGAGGAAGGGTCTGCTTTCGGAAACATCACTGTGAAACGAGCAGCACATCTGTTGGAATTGAAGCTAATTTCAGAATTGTGATTTGAACTAGCCTGACTGTGATGGTGACCGAGAATCACTCAGCAGTGACTGAGGAACCTCATCTTGTTCATTCATGTCGCCTACACAATCAGCTATCATCCAATCAAGCCTCCTTGGTAACATCTCCCCCCTCCCCTGTCTTTTTCTCCTGCACAGCAGCGACTTACCAGGCCAGGAATCAGGACTAGGAATAATGTGGTCCCTTCACTTGCACAGGTAGATTACACAGAATATTACTCCATGCGACTCCAGTTCCACTGTCATGTGGATGACACTTAACCGCCCTCAGAAAAGGCAATTAGGGACAGGCAGCAGACACTGTTCATAAGGAAATAAACAGTTTTAAACATTCTTCCAGGGAGTGCTGTAATGTCAGACGGTGAGTGCTGAGGGTGTGCCGCAGTGTCGGAGGGCGAGTACTGAGGGAGTGCCACAATGTCAGAGAATCAGTACTGAGAAAGTGCTGCACTGTTGGAGCTGTCATCTTTTAGGTTATGTTCCAACGTAGCTGTGTGCATGATTGTTACCTTCATGTCGATATAATTATTAACTTGAATATTGCTGTCAGAGTTTCACCAGAAATGGGTGAAAGTTTCATTTCCTGAGGAACTGGCTGATGAAATCACTGTTTTTAAATAACACTGGCTAGATTGAGGAATGGGCTGTTTTCAGAGACATCACTTTGAAAGGAGCAACACATCTGTTGGATTTGAAGCTAGAATTGTGATTTGAACTGGCCTGACTGAGAATCACTCAGCAGTCACTGAGGAACCTCATCTTGTTCGTTCATGTCCCCTATAGAAATCAGCTGTCCTCATCCAATCAAGCCTCCTTGGTAACATTCACCCCTCTGTCACTTTCTCCTGCACAGCAGCGACTTCCCAGGCTGGGAATCAGGACTAGAATTAATGCGGTCCCTTCCTTTGCACAGGTAGATTACAAGGATATTACTCCATGTGACTCCATTTCCACTGTCATGTGGATGACCATTAACTGCCCTCAGAAAAGGCAATTAGGGACAAGCAGCAAACACTGCAGTTCATGAAGAAATAAATATTTTTGAACATTATTTCAGGGACCGCTGCACTATCGGGGGAGAGTGCTCAGGTTGTGTCGCAGTGTTGGACGGTACTGAGGAAGCGCTGTAGTGTCAGAGGATTAGTACCGAGGGAAAGCCACACTGCTGGAGGGTCAGTGTTGAGGGAATGCTGTACTGTCGGAGAACAGGGACAAGATAAGGAAGAAGAGTTACTGAGCTGTCGACGCGATTATGAATAACTTGTTCAAAATGTTTAGCCAGTTAGCAATGGCCTAGTGTGTGTGGATGTGCGTGTGTGTGCACAAAGACACATTCGCACACTCACTCTCAGTCACCCACCAACCCACCCACCCACATACCCTCAGACACTCACTCAGAGAGCCACTACAAAACACTGGTAAGGCCACATTTGAGATACTGTACACAATTTCAGTCACCCTAATGTAGAAAAGATGTTATTCAACCAGATAGTCTGCAAAGATTTACAAAGATGTTATCAAAACTGGAGGATTTTGAGATTTAAGGAGAGACTGGATAGACAGGGACTTTCGTCATGAGGGCAGAGATAAGGTGAATAACCACCGTCTTTTCTCCCAGGTGGGGGAAATTCAGAACTAGAAGGCAAAAATTTAAGGTGAGAAGAAAAGATTTAAAACGGACCAAAGAGGCAACTTTCTCCCACAGTGCGTTGTACATATATGGAATGAGATGCTAGAGGAATTGGTAGAGGTGTGTACAATTACAACATTTAAAATGCATTTGGACAGGTTCACGAATCGGAAAGGTTGAGAAGAATTTGGGCCAAATGCAGGCAACGGGATTAGTTCAGTTTGGAAAACCCGGTCGTCGCTGACGAGTTGCAACTGCGTGCCAAAAAAGCAACTAATTTATTCACATTACATTTCATCTGCCATGCACGTACCTACTTACAAGTTGTCCAAAACAAAAATCACGCAGAAACCGATTCTGAGCAATTGGTCACAAACTCCTCTTAGACATGAACAAAATTGCCCCCTAAAAAGATGGCGGAGACACGTGCACTGCCCAGCATACCTGGCACCGCGTCTGCGCCCTGCGGCCCCTCATTTCACATCAAGATGGCGACAATGGACCTAGCTCTAAATTACGGGAGCAGAAAAAAACGGCGGCATTAGAAGGTCGTATTCGGATTTACGGCTTACCCAACATCTTTATGAAACTTCTCTGTCACCCGCCGTGGCCGATCTCGCGCATCCTCCAGTTACACGCAGTACTGCGCCTGCGCACTGTTCCATGACCATATGATGAGGTGACGGTTTTCGACTGGGTTGGACAGTATCAGTAATCACACGACATCAGGTTATAATCCACCTCTCTCTCCCTCACACACATGTAAATCTATGGAGTAAATTCGTAATTGCAGGTACATTCAATTTTGTTCATAAAGCACTCAATTTATAGATAGTCAGTCAATGTGGCGTTTTATAATTTCCGGCTTGAGAAATAAAACCAGTCTGACTCCAAACCAAAACACAAACAGATTCTAAACAAGGTCTCAAACCTAACATCCATTGTCCGACCTAAAATGTCGCCTCTTCTTTACACTTATAAAACCTTTAGTTCTTTCAGGGCAATGACTTGACAGGAATTCGGGGATTTGCATATACATATTAATCAATTAAAACCTTCCAATTGACTAAAGATTTAACAACATGTTAGGTTTGTTTAATATATTCTCATCAGTGGTTTGACCCTTTGATCTTTGGTCCCCACCGCCAGGTATCCTGGGTATTCGAGTCACAATTGACTCTTGGCCCTACTGTATTCCAGTTGGGCGGGTTGGTTAGCTCAGCTGGCTGGATGACTGATTTCAGCATCTTGGTCTTAATTCCTACAATGTCTGAGTTTACCATTGAAATTTGCAACTTTCCCCTTGCCAGATTCACGGTGACCTACTTATTTAAGTGAGCAGCCCTAAACTTCAGTTAGAATATGGCGACTTTGCCTTTTTATTGAGTCAGTCTTGCTGTTATGCAATACAAAATGGAGCCAGAGGGAAAACAAATACTTAAATAAAATAAAGAACTGCGAATATTGGAATTTTGAAACAAAAACCTCATGAATGTGGGACCTTTTTGTTCTTGCTGTATAACTGGTTAAACAGTTCTCCTTTCATCTCAAAACTAAGTCATACGTAGGTCATAATGAATTAAGTGACTGTGTCAGATCTTAATGTGGTAATTGATTTGAAATACACATCTGTAAACTTTCCCTTTCAAGTTTCATATAAAAGCAGTTTGCAAATGACATTACTCTCAGCACAGGGTGGAAATTCAGAACACACAATTTGTTATTTTTTTATTTGCCTCTCCTGCTATCCCAAAGTTATAAATGCTGGCCACACGCACGTCCATTACTCCCTGGGTCGAAATCCATCTCTATTATTTCCATCCACAACTCCCAGTTTTCTCCCAACTCTCCTCTCTTCTGCCTCTCTTCATTACTACAGTTCCTATCTGTTCAGAGAAAATGAAATAAATGAGTGTTCGAGGCTTCCAACGAATCCTATGCAATTATACAAGGCACTAATCAGGCCACACTTGGAATGCAGTGAATGTTTATGCTATATGAGAAAACATATTAGAATTGCACTTGTGCCCTTTTTCCAAAAGAAACATTAGAATTGGAAGTCATGCGGTGAACTCAGCTAACCGAACCTTCCAGGTAACATACTGTACGTGGAACTGTATATGGCGGCATACTGACCCAGAATGCCAAACAGTATTAGATGTCCCCCAGTCACAGAACAGGAAAATGTGCGCAGGCGCAGTGCCATGGCGGTAGAGGAGTGTTGTCTTATGCGGCTCCTGGACCGTTAACAATTCGACAGAACGACGGGGCCGCTGCATTCAGCAGATGGACGGAAAAGCTTCGTGAAGATGTTTGGTAAGCTGCAAACCCCAGCACGACCTTCTAATGCTTCCGTTTGTCGCCAATGCCGGAGTTTAAAGTTGAATTCATGGCCGCCGTCTTGTTTGATAACGACGAGCGGTGGCGCGCAGGCAATTTTTATTGGGAGAACGTGCACGAGGTGCCGCCATGTTTTTAGGGGGCAATATTGTTTATAACTGGGAAGAGTTTGCCACCAATTGCTTACAATGAGGACAACTTCTCCGTCAAGCGGATTTGTGATTTGAACAAGTTGTGAGTGGCGAATACATAGTAGATAATATATAATGTGGATAAATTTGACGTTTTCCAGTTAGTAGCAAAAAGCAGGAAGCCAGTTTATTATCTGATTGGTGATAGATTTGAGAACGGACACCAGCCTGTGAAGGTAAGCTTGTATGTACTGTCGGTGGTGAAGAATGCAGATTGTATGTTAGCCTTCACAATGAGATGATTTCAATCCAGAAACAAGAATATTGTGCTGGAATTGTACAGGGTCATTGTGAGACTGAGGGAGCATCCAGTAGAAACGTGTAAAATTCAGGGCCATGCAGGATAAACACAGGAAAGATGTTCCCGATGACTGGGGAGCCCAGAACCAAGGTTCAAAGTTGAAGGATGCAGTGTAGGACTGGAGACTAAGATGAGCATAAATGTCCTTGCCCACGGAGTGGTGAGCTTGTGGACTTCTCTCCCACAGCAAACAGTTGAGGCCACAACATAGGACTGAAGTGTTCAAAGAGAAAGAAGGAACAGGGTACTTACGTGCATGTTTAGCCATGATCATTTAAATGTTGAAGCTGGATTAAAGGGCTGAATGGACTTCTCCTGCTCTTATTTTCTCTGACTGTATTGATGAAGCATACAGTAACAGAGGAGGAAGAACTATTCCCAACATCAACTGGGATAGTCATAGTGTGAAAGGTTTAGAGGAATGGAATTCTTAATATGCATCCTGGGCAGCTTTTGAAGCCAGTATGAAGAAGACCCTACAAGAGTGGGAACGGTACTAGACTTAATTTTAGGTCATTGAAGCCAAGCAAGTAGTTGAAATATCAGTACGGGAATCAGTTGTAGACATTGATCGTAACTCTGTTAGATTCAAGATTGTTTAGTACGGGACAAGGATGGGCATGGAATCAAAGTTCTAAACCAGTGGAAGGCAGATTGTAATAAGATCGAATATGATTTGGCTAGACTGGGCTGGGAGCAGATACCTTTCAGTAAATGTGTGTCACATCAGTGGGATACATTGAAGAAGGAAATTTGAGAGTTCCAATAAAGTCGAAGGGTGGGACCAACAAATCTTGTGAACCCCGTATATACAGGATTGGCTAAAGAGAAGAATGGAAGCAGTTAGTAGCTACCAAAGGTTCAAAACAGCAGAAGCCCTAGCCAAATACCGAATGTGCAGGGGGAGTCTTAGAAAAGGAAATTAGAGCAATAAAGGGACATGAAAGGATAATTGGCAAAATATAAGTGAAAGGGGTGACATGGGTTTGGAAACCAGAAAGACGGACAGTGAAACACTTTAAAAAAAATTAGCTTAGAAAGAGAAGAAGCTTCTGATTGGTCTAGCAGGCTTAAAAGCAAAAATCTCCTGGGCCAGATTAAATGTATCCCAGATTGGTGAGTAAGGCAAGACCAAAAATAGCAGGGGCACTGGCAATAATTTTTAACTGCTTTCTGAGCACTGGGGAGATGCCGAAGACCTGGTTGTCAAAGAAAGGTTGTAAGGAGAAACCAGGGAACTATAAACCTGTGAGTCTGACTTCAGTTCTGGGGAAGTTGTTGGAGGTGATTATATAAGATAGGATTTATGGGCATTTAGAAAGGCAGAAATTGATTAGGGATAGGAAGCATGGTTTTGTGCGAGGAAAATCGTGTCTCACAAACTAGATTGCGTTTTTTTGAGGAAATTACCAAAAAGGTTGATGATGGCAGAGCAGTAGACGTTGTTTATTTGGATTTTTGTAAAACCTTTTGACAAGGTTCTGCATGGTAGATGAATTAGTAAAGTTAGGTCGCATGGGATTCGGGGTGAGCTTGCCAACTGGATACATTATTGGCTTAACAGCAGGAGACAGAGAGTCATGGTGGAGGCTTGCTTTTCCGACTGGAGGCCTGTGACCAGCGATGTTCCACATGGATTGGTTCTGGGTTCTCTTTTGTTTGTCATTTATATGAATGAATTAGATGAGAATATAGAAGGCATGTTAGTAAGTTTGCGGATGACACCAACAGTGAATAACGTTTTCTAAGAATACTATGGGATCTCAATCAAATGGATTTCAATCTGAATAATTGAGGTATTGCATTTAGGTACAAGAAACAAGGGCAGGGCTTATACAATTAATGGTAGGGGCTTTGGTAGTCTTGTGGAACAGAAGGTCCCAGGGGTGTAGGAACATAATTCTTTAAAGTTTGAGTCACATATAGACAGGATGGATAAGAAGGCATTTAGCACGCTTACCTTCATTGCTCAGTTCTTTGAGCACAGCAGTTGGGACGTTATGTTGAGGCTGTACAGGACATTGGTGAGGGCACTTCTGGAGTACTATGTCCAGTTATGGTCTCCCAGTTATACGAAGGACCTTATCAAATTAGAGAGAGTTCAGAAGAGATTTACCAGGATGTTGCCAGGTATGGAAGGTTTGAGTTATAAGGAAAGGCTGGATAGGCTGGGACTTCTTTCACTGGAGTGTAGGAAGTTGAGAGGTGACCTGATAAAGTATATGAAATAATGAGAGGTATAGGTAGAGTTGATGGTAGTTGTCTTTTCTCTAAGATGGGGATCTTCAAGACCAGGGGGCACATATTTAATGTGAGAGGAGAGAGATTTGAAAAAGACATGACGCAAATTGTTTGCGCAGGGTGCATTGCATGTGGAATGTACCTCCTGAAGAAGTGGTGAATGTGAGTACAATTACAATGTTTAAAAGTCATTTGGATGGATGTATGAATAGGAAAAGTTTGGAGGGATACGGTCCAGGAGCAGGCAGGTGGGACTAGTTTAGTTTGGGATTTTATTCAGTATGGGCTGGTTGGACTGAAGGCTCTGTTTCCATGCTGTATGACTCTGAATCTATGACTCTGTGATGTGGGATTGTTATTCAAGAAGGGAACAAGGGATAAACCAGGAAATTACAGTCCAGTCTGTCTCACCTCAGTGGTGGGGAAACCATTAGAAGCAATTCTGAGGGACAGAATTAATCTGCATTTGGAGTTGAAGTAATTAGTCAGCAACAGTTAGCATGGTTTTGTTAAGGGGAGGTTATGTCTGACCAACTTTTTTTTTTTTATAAGCAAAGAAGTAGCCAGGTGTATAGATGAGAGCAATTAATTCGACATTGTCTGCTTGGACTTCATCAAGATTTTTGATAAAGTCCCACAGAGGAGACTGACAGCAAAGGAAAGAGTCCATAATAATCAAGATAATTTGGCTGAGTGGCTCCAAAATTGGCTGAGTGGTAAGAAGCAAACAGAGTTTGTTAGGCATATTTTTGTGACTGGAAGCCTGTATCCAGTGGGCTTCCACTGGGATCAGTATTGGGGCCCTTCCTGTTCGTGTTCATATAAACGATTCACAATGAATGTCAGGTGTTGATCAATAAATTCATGGGTAATATGAAAATTGGTGGGTGGTAAATAGTGAGGAGGACAGCCTTCTGAAGAGTGGTTGTGCAATTTAGGCCTATACTCTGAAGTGTAGAAGAATGAGCGGCTACCTAATTGAGTTATATAGCATGCTGCAAAGCATTGAGAAAGTGGAAGTTGAAAGGATGTTTCCTTCTGTGGGACGTTCTGGAGTGAGAGGTTATAGCTTTAGAATAAGGTTTGGCAGGTTTAACACAGATGAGAAGAAATTACTTGTCTCGGATGGTTGTGAATCTGTGAAATTCACTATCACAAAATGAGGTGAATGCTGGGACATTAAGTAAATTTAAGGAGGTAATTTAATGAGTAATTATTCATGGGCTGAAAGGTTATGGGCAGTTGGGGTGGGATGAGATCAGTCACAATTTTATTAAATGGCTGAATTGCTACTCCTGCTGCTAGTTCTTATGTTCTTAGATTACAGGAGGATATAGATAGGCTGGTAAGACAGGCTGATCAGTAGAAGTTGGAATTTAATTCAGATAAGTGAGAGGTGATACACTTGGGCAGGGCAAACGAGCCAATGGAATACATGAATAACAATGTAGGACTGAGGATCCGTAGGACCCTGCTGTGCAAGTCCATCCATCCCTTAAGGTAAGAGGACAGGCAGGTAAAGTGGTTAAAAGGCAAATGGGACACTTGCCTTTATTAGCCGAGGCATAGAGTTTGGGGACAGGGAAGTTATGCTGGAACTGTATATATAGTTGGTTGGGCCACAGCTAGAGTGTTGTGTGCAGTTCTGGAATCCAAAGGATACAAGAGATGTGATTTCACTAGAGACAGCACAGAGGAGATTTACCAGAATACTGTATGGGCTGGAGAGTTTTAGTTGTGAAGAAAAGTTGGACAGACTGGGATTGTTTTCTTTGGAGCAGAGGAGATTGAGAGGAGCAGGGTTGAGATGTATACGTTATGAGGCGTATAGCAGAATTTGAATCTGGATTCCCAAAACATTCTCTGAATTAATAGTCCAGCACTGATACCATTAATCCAATACATTCCCCAGGATTCTGACCCACCCAACAATACAGGAAGAGCAATATTGTTCCAAGTTTGCGGTAAGGAGACCTTTATAGGACAGATAAGGGGCGGTGTGCCATTGTTGCTTCTGCTGCCTGGATTGATGCTTGGTGCTCTGACCAGTTTCATTCCCTTTTGATTTGTGGTTTGATATTTTATAAAATGCTTAATAACAGAGCAGTTGGAAAACAGTGGCTGGGTTGGACAGAGTCAGCATGGATTTCTGAAGGGAAATGATGCTTGGCAAATCTCCTGGCATTCTTCTAGGAATTAATTAGCAGAGTTGATGAGGGGGAATCAGTGGGCATGGTTTATGTGGACTTTGAGAAGGCTTTTGACAAATTCCAACAGATAATATCAGGTGGTGGGGTGGGAGGGGGTGCAGTCTCAGAGAAACATATAAAATTTTAATACGATTAGACAGGTTTGATGCAGGAGGTTGTTCCTGATGCCAGGAATCACAGATTAAGGGTATGTGGTAAACCTTTTCGGTCTGAGGTGAGGAGAAATTTCTTCACACAGAGAGCGGTGAGCTTGTGGAATTTGCTACCACAGAAAGCCATTGAGGCCAAACCATTGTGTGATTTCAAGAAGGATTCGGATATAGCATTTGGCTCAAGGAATCAAAACATGTGGGGGGTAAAGGAAGAACATGCTTTTGAGTTATACGATCAGCCATGATAATACTGATTAGCAGAGCAGGCTCAAAGGGCCAAATGGCCCACTCCTGCTCTAATTTACTTGATTTCTATCGACACATTAGTCAGGAAGAAACTTCTCCCCCTGGTGGAGGGATCAATGACCAGGGTGCATAAATTTACAATCAGAGGCAGAAGATTTTAGAAGGCATGTGAGGAAAATATTTTTCACCTCCAGGGCAGTGGGAATGTGGAAATTGCTGCCTGTAAAGTAGTTCAGTCAGAAACAGTCATAACAATTGAAGTAGTATTTAGATGTGTGTGTGTGCGGCACAGGATTCTGGTCCAGTGCTGGAAAATGGGAGGAGAATAGTAAGGTCGTTGTTTCTGACTGGCACAGCCTTGACAGGCTGAAGGACCTTTTTGTTTGTAGACCTCTATGACTGTAATAACTTGTATACCGCTATCACCCCGCTGTGTCCTTTATTCACCATGGAGCAATGAGTTTCTTGAATGCAGCCTTGCAACTAAAATCCCCGATCCCTCAAACCATTCTAATGAAGCCCCTCTCCACCCTCCCAGGGACCCTCCCATCCTTCAGAATGTGTGGGTGATCACTGGTTTGTACAGACCCAGAATGCTGTCTGTTTGTGTCTGTGATGTCATCACACACTGGCAATTGCACAATGACATCACCCGCTCCCCAGGGATTTCCTCAAATGTGGGATTTTTCTGACTCTAGTGTTTCTGATATCTTTACAGGTGCTGGCTCCAGCGGGAGATTTTCAAATTTCAGACAGTGAAATTGTTAAGCGGTGAGTAACTTTGACCATTCTTTTACAATTTTGAGGTTTTTGGTGTGTGCCAGTTATTTGTGGGAGGATCCACATCTCTGAGGCTAGTGTAACTCTTTTACTGTGGATCTGAAGCCATGGCCATCCATTACTGTGTGTCGCCTCTATCATCCCTGATCAGCACTCTGCCATTGTCTAACCTGCTCTGTTTAAGTTTGTGTTTGTTTGCTGAATCTCTGAAGTTTCTGTCATTGCCCATCATCCAAGTGTGCGCTGCTGACTTACCAGCTCCATCTTCCCTCGGTACTTCTCACCGTAAGGAATTGTAGAGTCATAGAATCACACAGTTTAGAAGAGGCACTTTGATCCATCGAATCTGCACCAAAAACAAACTTAATTTCCACTGTTACAGAGAGAGTAGGAACTGCCGATGATTTCTGAAGAAGGGTCTCGACCCAAAACGTCAGCTTTCCTGCTCCTCTGATGCTGCTTGGCCTGCTGTGTTCATCCAGCTCTACACCTTGTTATCTCTTAATTTACACTGTTCCCACTTTCCAGTACTTGGCCCATCGTCTTAAAAGTTATGACGTTTCAAGTGCTCAGCCAAGTATGTTTTTAAAGGTTGTAAAGTTTCCGGCTTCACTTACGCTTCCAGCTGGTGTATTCCAAATACCCACCACCGTCTGAGTGAAAAACATAAACTTCATCAAATTCTCTCAATCTTCTGTCTTTCCCCTTTAAATGATGTCCTGTTGACCCTTCAGCTAAAGGGAACAGATGCTTCCTATCCACCCTGTCTATGACCCTCATAATCTTACAGGAACAGGAGTAGGCCATGCAGTCCCTGGAGCCTGTTCCATCATTCAATGCTGATCTGTCACCTAACACTATAAATGTACCTTTAGCCCATAGAATTGTGTTACAGTGAGTGGTAGAGTCATACAGCATAGAAACAGGCCCTTTGGTCCCCCGTGTCTATACTGACCAACAAACTCCAAACTGCGCTAATCCCATTTACCTGTGCTTGGTCAATAGACTACTATGTTCTGGCATTTTAAGTGTTCATTCAGATGCTTTTTAAATGTTGCGAGAGTACCTGCCTCCATCACCACCTCAGCCCCTGTGTTCCATATTTCCACCACTCTCTGGGTGAATTATTTTTCTCCCTTAGATCTCCTCGAAACCACTTATTCCTCACCTTAAACCTATGCCCTCTGGTCTTAGACATGTCTACGATGGGGAAAAGATTCTCATGATCTGCACTGTCTATAACTCTCAGAATTATGGATACACCACCTGAAACCTCCCAAATGCATGACCACACAGCCCCCTCTGCCCAATTTACCAGTCGATCAATATCAGACTGTAGCCTGAGAGCATCCTCCTCACTATCACCAATGCAACCAATTTTCCTGTCAGCTGCACGTCTGTCCTATAATGTCACATCCTTCCTATAATGTGGTGACCAGGACTGTTATACAGTACTCTAGCTGTGATCTGACCAAAATTCTGCACAGCTTCAACATAACCTCCCTGCTCTTATGATCTGTGCCTCGACTGATGAAGTCAA